ATATATATTAATGTATGTATGCATTCATGCATCTGTGCGTGTTTGTGTCTGTTTGTGTATATTCTCTGTCTGAACAGTTAATGTGCAGTATCGGATAGTAAAAGTGCCGTGTTTGGTATTTTATGTAGCGTGGAATACACCTAAATCACAAAAATGACCTGTGATGTTACTGCAGTATTCGGTCATATATAAATTTGCGCTCTCTGGGCTATTCTCGACTATCAGTTCTGCCGTGCTACTTCTCATATTGGCTGAGCTGCACCGAGTACCTTCCTGAGTGATGCCATATCAGGGGGGGGGTCTATGGCATATCAGGGGGGGGACTATCATATAGTATGTACTCACGTTGCCTGGACACGCACTCGGTATACGGATTGGTCTATCGAATACGTGGATAACTCAAGCACCCGATGTAAAACCTGAAGGCAACGGCTATTGTAGTACATAGCTCTGTAGTTACCTCGCACTTGGGAGCACCGCCATAGCTATACCTTCACCCTCAGCCCTACGAGACACCGACACCGACACCGACACCGTGTGCGCATCTAGTAATTAAAGTGAGGAATACGTTCACAACCAACGAGGCCCAATGCACAAAAGACAGACAATTCTAGTGCATTCTACAGTACTTGATGGCTATGTGGTTGTATGTGCTACTCCTGGCGTATAGTATAACAGTGTAGTACGCACCCAACACACTTCATTGTTCATCCGTGGCATTCCTATCCACCTCTGCGGTTACCAGTCCACCTCTGCGGTGGCCAGGGGAATACACACGCCAGTACATGGCAGTGGACTCACAGTAGGCCCATATCACGCCTCTCTAGACTTACAGTAAGCCCATATCACACCCCTCTAGACTCACAGTAGGCCCATATCACACCCATCTAGACTCACAGTAGGCCCATATCACACCCCTCTAGACTCACAGTAGGCCCATATCACACCCCTCTAGACTCACAGTAGGCCCATATCACACCCCTCTAGACTCACAGTAGACCCATATCACACCCCTCTCATTACACGCACAGACGTTCTATCTCCCCAACAAAGAGGAGCGCACGATCATGCGCCTACCGAAAGAGAACGACGTCGACTACCGTGCCGCCTGTTTCTGCCATAACAAAGTCATAAGTGTGGGCTATGTGTGCTCTGTGTGCTTGTCAGGTATGTCAAGTGAACAGACTGTAACAACAAATTCATAAGTACGTGCTATGTATGCTCTGTGTGCTTGTTTGATCGATATCACCTGTGTGATGTGTATGTAATGGTACGCATGCACACACATGGCATAAACACGTCTGTGTGTGTTTTTCACTGTCGTGTGCTGTGTGTCTCCGTCCTCTGAACACAGCGTGTGCACACAAGTAGTGGAAGTGGTGCGTGTTATGTATCATACTGTCCCCATATGCTGGTATCGCTGCAACTGTACTATCTTGACAGTCACGCCTACCGCTGGCCGAAAGTAGTGTCCGGGCTAGCATACGAGGTTCATATACTTTTAATGTCTAAGTGTGTGACCTTGCTTGTGTCTTACTATTAGTGGAGTCTCAGTATACGAGGTTCCTATACTTTTAATGTTTTATGTCTTACTATTAGTGGAGTGTATGGCTATTTGCTCGGGACCACGCGGTCGTGCTCTGGAATGTGTTGGGGGCATACAGGAGAACATCCTAACTTTACTACATATAATACACACACAC